GGGGGTGGCCCGCGGTGGCTGGGGACACAGGAACCAGTTGGCACCTGGCAGCTGGGCCAGATTGTCAGGCATGGGGGTGTGTATTTCACCCTCCCAAATATTTTCTGCCATTTGGGTGTCTATTGGCACAAATGCCTGGTAAGCCTTCTCTGTCACATGCGCTTTAAGGCACACATGTAGGTACCTTTCCGAGTGAATGAAACAAACGGCTGAAAATAGACATTTTACGAAACGGATACCCTGATTATATTGGTCAGTGCCACACAAGTTACTGCAGCAAACCTCCCCATCTGAAATTCGGATGCCTTGCTCATTTCCAGCAGAGATGTGTTTGGTGAAAGCTTAAATAATAATCATCAGATTGAGTGGAGTTCCAAAGATAATTTTATGCTAAGCTTTAAATGGGACCCTCTCATATTATTCTCGTTTAATCTGCTCTTTACAATATAAAAACAAAGTTATGAAAATATCATGGAGTGGCATATTCTTCTGATAGGGTTCTATTGAATAGCATACAAGGAATCTCAGAATTTCAACCATGTAGGGTCCATCGAACAAGGGTAGTTTTGTGCTCACTTCCCAAAGTCCCCTTCCTTAGGTCACAGATCGCACCAAGGCACCCACGGAGCAGTGCTCAGCAGGAAAGAGTAGCATGTAAATGTTTTTTTAAAAATTATTATCCCTTTATACTTTAATTGGAAAAGGCTACCATTTGTTACCTTATGGAATAAATTGTTCTCTGATAACAGGCTCAGCCAGTATACTGAAAAGCTGAGAATAGACTTCAAATTCACCTGTGGAGATCCAAACCCTTTTCTTCCCTGACCACAAACATAACATGAAGATAGAGTATCTTAAGTCTGTTAGGTGTTCGATGTTTACCTTGACATTAAACACCTGATAAACAGGTTTTAAAATATTTAGTGTATTAATTTCTTTTCTTGCTGTGGGTATTAACTGAATATTGATCATATTGCTGGCAACTCATAAAACGGTTTACTCTTTATTAAGCATATGCTGTATGCTGAGTATTGTTCATTAGAGTCATTAACAGTAGTTCTAACAAATAGAACAGCCAAATACAGTTTCCTCCATTTTTTTTAGTTTAGGAAAATAAATTATAATACTATGTTCACACAAAGAGGTATTGTGCAGCCATTAGAACAATGTTGTACACAAATATCTAATATCTTAGGGCCAAACCTACCCAGTACCATCAAATGGATTCCCACTCGTTTCAACTTTCTATAGTGCTGCTAAGACTGCAAATCTTCATGGGAGCTGGTAGGTTTGAACTGCCAACCTTGAAGTTAGCAATCCAGTGCTTACCCTACTGTGTCACTAAGGCTTCTTACTATCTTCGAAACATGTTGAAGTGAAGGAAGCAAATACCGAACACTGTGATCAGTGTTCTCCGGTGTGTACGTCTCACGCGCTCGCTCACACTTACGGAAAACTGTATGGAAAGTCACAGGCACCAAAGCACCAGCGATGAGAAGTGTTTCTCTGTTCTCACGCCCAGAATTTGACCTCTGCTTTCAGTGCATCAAGGAGCTGTGCTTGCTGCTGCTGGACCAGCGCCTCTTGCTTCCGGCCCTGAAACTGCTTCTCGAGAGCCAAGACGAGCGTCTCGGTGCCCTGGCACTGGAGCAGCTCACAGCTGTTGCTAAGGTATGTCCGGTGACGTCAGGGGAACGATGAGCATGCTCATCCATAGTCACCTCAGAAGCACATGTTTCTGTATTTTACAAACACTTACTAAGGGAGCTCTTTCCATGAGCCAGACTCTGTTTAGCTATTGAACTTCAAAACGAAATAGCAATGCTATTTCTCTAGAGAAGCCGTATAGTAATTTCTTTAGGAGAATATCAAAGCAGCCGGACCAGTCATGTTTTTCAGAGCTGCCCCCTCGCAGTGAGAATTTGGGTCTAGGAAATTCCTAGAGTCACTCAGGTTTTCCTTTCAGAATGCGTGTGCTTGTGAAATAATTGGGCCCCACCTTATACCTCACACACGTCTTTTCTCTGGAAACCTATGCCGTCGTTGAAAGAGACTTCTTGGCCTGAGACACAGAATACAAAAGTCAGGTCTTGAGATTTCGCCCTCGAAGCTGCTTGTGTCAGGAAGAAACATTTACTTTTTTTTTTTCCCAATTAGACACTTCGAGGGTTTTTATTTGAAGGAATTCATATTATTTCTTACTCAAAACCCACGGAAATATCACTTTTTTATTCTGATTACTTTTGCGTGTGTGATTTTGTGTTTGTGTGTATGTAATATATATAGGAGTCCCTGGGTGGCAGAAACTGTTATGCACTAGGCTGTTAACTGAAAGGTTGTTGGTTTGAACCCACCCAATGGTGTTGTAGGTGAAAGACTTGGTGATTCACTTTTAACAGATCATAATCATTGAACAAGTTGTAGAACACAATTCCGCTCTGACATATATAGACTCACCATGAGTCAGATTCTATATGCAAATCATTTACAATTCAAAGACACTAATTAGAATGGATTTATACCCGCTTATATATACACTCCTATATGACATGTGTATGTACATATATTTTTTGGTTATTATTTACAACAATGCCACAGGATGTTTACTAGGAACTAGAAAGTAGAGAAAAACTCTAAAGGTTTATGCTTGCTTGCCATATAAAATAGCGATGTGAGTGGGAGAAAGACATGGAGAATGTGAGACTATGTTAATGGCTAAAAACGAAAAGTTTGTTGCTTATGGAAAGTAGAATGTTTATCAACAGCCATCATAAACAAAACAAAATGGTTGTTCATTATGATTTTTATTTGATGCATTTTCAGAAGAATGTGTAAGCTACTGTAAAGAGTTCGGGAGTACATTCAGTTTTCATTGAGAATTACGTAAGAACGAGGGCCTCTAGAGCAACTGGGCTGAAGTAGGAAACCCAGGCAACGTCTCTAGCGACAGGCTCCCTAGCTGTGTCAAAATCTAAGTTTCCTAACTTTGGGAGTTAAATGATACAAGAATTACAGACCGTTTTTTCCTTAGTCTATTTTTCCTTGTAAACCCAAGAAATCTGGAAGAGAGAGCTAAAGAAAATCAGCCTGCATGGCATCCGCCCACCCTTGTACATGTAGTAGTGCCTCTGCGCATCATCCTCCCTCAGATTGGCCAGGGGCCTCGTCTAGAATTCAGAAGTGATCTACAACGCCTTGCTTTCCCTATTCAGCCTACATAGCGCTCTTTGGTGCACTCTTCAACACCATGGGCGAATGAGAAGTATATCACTTCTCATTTTAAATGCATCTTTTAGACTCCTGACTGGAGCCAGAGCTCCTGAACTAGTCTGTACCCACACCTCACCCCCACGCACACGCAATAAGAAATGAAATGGGAACATTGCAACACCCAAATAGTTTTTAATGGCACTGATTTACCTGCATAACACTTTCCAACTTCGCTTCAGATATGCAGCATATTTCTAAAACTGCATTTTTTAAACTCCTTGCAGGTGGTAGTACCTTGGTTGTGATAATAGCACGTAATGTCTTTGCGCCTTACAGATACAAGGGCGGAAGCGAAGGGCGGGGAGGGTGGGATGAGTTCATTCTGTGCCTTATTGAGGTCCTCGTTTTCAGGAATTTCATGAGAGGGATCTGTCACTTCTCCACAGTAAGTTGTGGCTTTTAAACATGCCTCAGAAAACTTCAGAGTCTGCTCCGACCTTTCGCATCTTCCAAGGACCTAGTTAAAGTTTTGCACAATTGTTGGTTGTTTAAATATGTGAAAACTCTTTAGTTTGAATTCATTTGAAATCCACACTCAGCTTTAATGAACAGAGATCCTGTATATACTTCGCCCAGAATATCCTCTGATAATATTATGCTCATAAGGATAAATACCATCTCATAACCAGGATACTGACATTGATTGATCTAACCTATAGGTTCCCAAACTTATTTGGCCTGCCATCCCCTTTTCAGAAAAAAAAAAAGAAAAGAATTCCCTCAGTGCCCTCCCTGGCAGTGATAAACTTTTTGTAGCATAGCCCAGAATCCAAGATAAAGTGTAGGCATCTGCTTCTGCCACCCTGCTGGATCATTCCAGAGCCCCCTGGGGGCAGTGTTACCCACTTTGGGAAACACTGATCTAGTCCTTTGACCTCACTGAGATGCCCGCAGTTGTGTGTGTGTCTGCGTTTCTAGTTGTATGTAGTTCTAGTTTTACCAACTGAAGGTTTAGGTGCCTCTCGTGTCACTGTCAAAGATGTATAGTGGTTGCATCAACGGTCTGCTCACGTTACCCTTCCACATCCATGACCTCCTTCCCCCCACAGCCTTAGACACCCACTAACCTACTGTCTCTGTCGCAATTGGCTGAATTTGGATATTTTGTACTAACAGAATCATGCAACATGTAGGTTTTTCATGACTGACTTCTTTTACCTGACAGTTTTCCAGGTTCATCCATGTTATTGATACTTCACTTCTTCTCATTGCTAAATAGCAGAATATTTTATGGATTTAAGACATTTTGTTTCTCTCTTTAGCAGCTAGTGGGCATTTGAATAATTTAGACTTTCAGACTATGAGTGATATGCTACCAGCCGGGTGGCACTGTGGGCACATGTTGGGCTGCTGACCACAGGGTTTGAAACCACCAACCAGCTGCTCGGAGGAGACAGGGCTTTCTCGGCCTGTAAAGAGCCAGGCATAGGGCGGTCCGCTCTGTCCTATGGGTCGGAATTGACTCGCTGGGAGGGAGTTTTGAGTTGAGACCATGATACCCACGTACAGCTTTCTGGGCGGTCATATGTGTTTATTTCTCTTGGGTCCCACGCACCCAGGAGTGAAAGGATCGGGTCATATGGCAAATGAGCCATTTGTTAAGTAAATGTTTTCACTGTTCTAATATGTAGACATTTCATTTGAACCACTTCAAGCAGATGACATTTGTACATAGGATCATCATAAATCAGAATCAACTCAGTTCAAAGGGTATTAAATGTTGACATTTGAAAAGCTGTAAACTGAAAGTTAACTACTTAACGGGCCTAATTTTGAACAGCCAACCACTTTTGTCTCATTTATTTGGACTTCCAGATTTTCAAATCACTCTGAAACTTAGCTTCTCATTTTATCTCCAAAAATAACCCCGTAGATGGAAGGCCCTTACAAACCTGGTAAAACTCTTCAGCTGGTTCACCACTTGGGAAAAGCCACGAGGATTGGCAGTATCCACTAAAACTGGGCAAAGGCGTAAGCGATGTCCTAGAAATTCCATACCTAAGCATTAAACAACCAGGAAAGGATGCTTATAGCCACTATAAAAACCTGCCCTAGAATGTTCATGGAAATAATATATGTAAGTAACCCCAAATTGGAAACAACACAATACCATCAATTATACAATGTGTGTTTTTTAAGTGTGGTATGTACCTATCAGTAAATGCTTTAGTTACTATGTAGCAATGGAAATTAATAAATGAATGCTATACACAAGATGAATGAATCTCACAACATCTTCAGGAAAAGAAGCCAGACACAAAGCTTTCCAATCATAATATTGAGAAGAAGAATCCAAGCAGGCCTTTATCAAGTGATACTGAGCTAACTGGATGCTTATATGGCAATGAAATAAAATAAAAATGTATGTGGATACCTACTTCACACCCTACATAAGAATTAACTGAAAGTGGATCACAGAAGACCTAAAATGACAGCTCTCTTTAAAGAAAACATAGAAATAAATCTTTGGGACCTTGGATAAGGTCGTGATTTCTTAGATATAGTAACAAAAGCATAAATGACAAAAGGAAAAAATAAAAACCACCGAGAAAGTGAGAGAGCCCCCTACAGAATGGAGAAAGCCATGTGCACATGAGACATCCACTAGGCGTGCCCAGGGTGAAGAACGCCCACACCGCCACGACAGAGGGACAAGTGCTGTGCCACCGGGAAAGGGGCACAGGATTTAGAGGTGCAGTTGCCCGATAAGCATTGAGAAGATACTGAACATAATTAGCCACTTCAGAAATACTGACCAAAAGGACATGATAGCCCTTCAAGTTCACTAGGACAACAGGAATATAAAAATCAAGCAATAGCAAGCGTTGGAGACAGTGGGACCCGCGCCCAAAACTGGTGGGAAGGTAGAAAGGAGTAGCTGTTTGGCGAAGGAGACTGACCCTTCAACAGTATAAGGGTAGAGTTGCCACATGACCCAGCATTCCACTCCCGCGACTGCATGTAGAAGGGAGAGCATCCGTCCACTGCTAACTCCAGTGCTTGGAGGTTCAGAGTGCTGTTGTCGGGTGTGGCCACGTTGCCGTCGACTCAGAGCCAGCCCGTGTACAGCAGAATGAAGCACGGCCTGGTCCTGTGCCGTCCTCCCACTCGGTCGTAGGTTTGAGCCCATCAGTGCAGTCAGTCAATCTTGTAGAAGGGCTTCCTCCTTTCCCTGCCCCTCTCCTTTACCAGGCATGAGGTCCTTCTCCAGAGACTGGGCTCTCCTGACCACATGTTCAAAGTAGGGGAGACGAAGTCTTGCTTCTGTCAAGCAGTCTGGCTGTACTTCTTCTGAGACAGATCTCTTCATTCTTTTGGCAGTCCAGGATACTTTCAGTGTCCTCCTCCAGCACCATAATTCAAACACATCAGTTTTCCTTTGGCCTCCCTTATCCCATGTC